GAGCAAGGGAAGCTGAAAACTCCTTGACTGGTGTGAGCGCTGCTTAGCAACGACTAAACCATCAGGGTGCTATCAACATTATTCTTATCCTAAATCCAAACCACAGCACTACACCAGCTACTAGGAATAAAATTAACTCTATCCCAGCCAAAACCAGGACAGGAGTATTTGATAATAATTATTATTAATTGGTAGCACAGAGTTGTGGAAAGGTAATTAAAGAAACGAAGGGACAAGGAGAACACTGTGGCCATCAGTATTAAAAAGCCCCCAGCGCCAAACCCCAGTGTGTTCTCTGCACACTGCTGAGTGCTGTTAGTGAGAAAGGGGGCTCCGAGAAAGCACTCGGTCAGGCCTTTTCCAGTACTGGTGCAGAGAAGGCAGAAGCAGTCAGTAAATGTATCCTGCGTCTGAAGACTAGAAGGGAAATGAATTCGTATTGAATAGGGAGAATTAATGATGACCTCCTTTCCTCCAGGTACTCACTAAGGGAAATATTAAACAGCAGCTGGTGCAAACAGGTATTTTAAAGTAGCAGGACAAGATTAAGTTGCTACCAGATACCTTAAAAGATCTGGGCGTCCTCTCCGGCCGGCTCCGGCCAGGCCCTCCCAGCTGCTGCGACTGGTTTTCCCTGGGGAAAAGGGGCTTCTCTGCCTCTTCGGATCTTCCACCACCTATTTTGATCCCTGCACGTTCTGATCGACTGCTGCTGATGCAGGTGCCAGAGCTGCTACTGGTAGGGGAGGGCAGAGTCCCAGCCCCATTCCCAAAACCCCTCAAAGGTAAAACCAAGCTGGGCACGCGCAACACATTCATTCAAGTTTTCCAGAACATTCTACTCACCATCTTTGGGCTTTCTAAGGCAAAGGATAAGAAAGATGACAAGGAAAACCACAGCACCGCAAACCACGGCAATCAGGACAACCAGGTACAGGGACAGGTGAGTCCTCTGGAAATCTAGAGCAATAGAGCAGAAGACTGAAACAGAGAAGCGCTCCTGGGTCACGGCAGCAGCAGCAGTTCCGTGACGCTGACCACCTCCCTGAGGACAACAGCAGCCAGCCCTGTCACGGGCACGCGGGGCTGTACCGCACGGGTGTGCCCCTGCCCGTCCCCGTCCCGACGGGGCCTCGCCCACGTGGCTCTGAAGAGGTGCGCTCGCGCGAGCCAGCCAGCCTTACTGCACGTCCATCCCGCCGGGAGGCTGCGGCCACAAAGGCAACCGGCAGGGTCTCTTAGCGCTGAGGCTAACTGAGGCTGTAAGCTGGGTGAATAGTTGCACTACACGTCAGGAAATAAAGAGTCTCATCTTTTCATCAGGGATACTGTTTAGTTGTATGTTTGGAACATATTTAAACCTACCACAGCACTGCAAAGCTAGAGGAGGTATAGAAGATCTGCTTGAGTTGCACACTCAAAGGAAAGACCAAAATGGACTATTAGTCGGGAACACGGCAACAACTCTGTATGCTCCAGCTATGAAAGCTTTTTCCTCCCCCCCATAAAAACATCCAGAGTCTTTTAAAGAGTCACCATGAATCATCTAGGTCCCTTGAGAACAGCCATTAATACAATTTGCAGCCAAAAGGCTGCAAAAAGCCAAGGCTTTTTGCATTTTCCTCTTTCAGGGGAGGGAAGTAGGAACATCATTCCATCCTAGTACGGAAGGGCTCCAGATGTTTTCCATCCAGCTGTGGCTCTGGGGACTCACCTCTCACCGTCAGCTCAACGGCGTCGCTCTGCTGCACAACCCCGGCCCCAGCCCGGTTTTCTGCCTCGCAGTAGTACTCCCCGGCATCGGAGAGCCGCAGGCTGTCCCACACCAGCTCGGCCTGGCTGCTCAGGAGCAGGGCTTTCCCCCCCGGGGCGCAACCAGAGCAGCGGTAGCTGATGGGTCGCTGCAACTGGAAGACAAAGCGGAGGGGGCCCAGGTCACGCTGGCCCTGGTTGCGGTGGGGAAGGTCCTCCCCGGCCATGGCAGTTCTTGCTCTGGCTTTCAGTGCTCTCCCAGGAGGAAGAGGGGCACCACTCTCACGTCACCTCTCTGCACGGGTTAAGCTTGGTTTAACTGTACCTGCACCCGCTATGCCACCCATTGCACCTTCTACACAAAGGCCTGCTCCTCTGGGTTGATGCCATCTCCGTTCCTCTATAAATCACTGCTGCCCAGGCAAAGGGAGATCGGGCATGGGCTGGTGAAGTTTGGTCAAAGAAATCAGTGCAATATCCCAGGGACTTCCCCTCTGGTGCGTGTCCCTTGGAAACATTGAGCCATCGGATACAGGTAGAGCCAGGGCAACACCAGTAAGTGAGAGGCCACACATCCTGCTCCAGCCCCCGAACCACGGGGCACAGCATCGTGGGCAGAATTCCTCCCTCTGACCCATTTGCTGCTGCTCGCTGCAGTCTGACACCACTCAGCAAAACGCTCCTGCATCGGAAGCGGGTGGTCGCTGCCCATCTGGTCTATTCAATTCCTGAACGCCTTCCTGAGCCAAGCCTTCCACACCTGCACAGCTTCTTTCTTGGGTTTACCTTTAACAACCTCCACTTTAGTGGTGATCTCTCTTGCCGTCAGGCTGTTGTTGCTGCTGCTCCAGGTGACCTGGCAAGTGTAGATTCCCCTGTCAGAGACCTCCAGGCTCAGGATGTGGAGGGACACGTTCCCTGGGTCGTCCTTCAGGACGCTGACCCTGTCCCTGTACTCGGACAGGAGAACGTGGTCGCCAGAGCCATCCCTCCGAAAGACGGTGCCAGACCTCTGGTCACGCACCACAGTCCACGTGAGCGTTTGCTGCACAAAGCCCTTCACAGGCACATAGATGCATGGCAAGGTGGTAGGTCCCTTCCATACGCCTTCGATCTCATTGGGGCCCGTCAGGTCCAGAAAAGCTGCAGGAAGAACGGAGAAAGAAAATTAAATAAAAGCAATCATGGTGAAGGCAGCTCCTGGGTGATGAAGTAGTGGTGAGAGCATCGGCAAGTGGAATCCACCAAATCCAAAGCACGGGCAGTCAGCGGGGGCAACGAGGGACGGTCTGTTCAGGGGTGGGCTAACAAAAAAGCAACGTGGCATGGGGAAGACAGCGGGAAGACAGCTGATTGCCAGGGGCACTGACGCGCGCCATGCGCGCGGTCTGGCTCTCACGCTCTGCCTGGTGCTTACCGCAAGCAAGTGACCACCAGGCAGAGCGTAGGATCAGAATTAGTGGACTTAGACCTGAGGGAAGGTTTGTCTCAAGCCTGAGCTGCACAGCTCCCCGCGCACAGCCGGCCTTCGCCCCCGCCACCCAGCGTCACTCTCGGGGCTTTCCTGGAAGCACTGCATGTTAACAGCAAACCACACTTTTTATGGTTCTCTCTCCTCCACTGGTCATTTTTCCTTCTGAAAGACACTGCTTTTTCAGACTAAGCTGAATTTAAGCAACTTAAGCAATGGATCAAAGAAGTCTAAAACCCTTCAAATTTTCCTATAAAAATGAGGTCCATTGCCTTTATCCCAGTGCATTTTTGTCACTCTTAGGGCTAAACCTGTGCTTCCACAGACGCTTCTTTACCCTTTTCTCCTGGTTTCCAAACCTCCCCTTTCCTGGGAACACAAGAACTAACCAAACCCTTTGTGCTGGGCTGCTCGCTGTGCTCCATGAAATAACCACCACAACATACGTGGCATCTTTGTACTCTAAGTATGTGGGCAGCATTTCCATAGCCTTCACACACCGTTGCACTCTGCAGCTGCTGGCTTTGAAACACCTGAATGCTGAGCCAGTGGCAGGCAAAGATGTTGGCCTTTTTGCCATGTTTCTGTTCCCGAACCAGAACGTACAAACATGCCGACACGCCAGGGCCAGGGCAGGAACCGCCCTGAGCAGCAGACCTCTCCATAGACTCACCGTTGCAGAAGAGAAGAGGACTCATAAGCACAGCTGCTCTCACCAGCGTTCCCATCCTTCCCAGGGCTGCGGCTTCTCCCCCTCCAGTAGAACAGGCCTGCTCTCTCCAAGTCGGGGGTAAATCAGGAGTACCTCCTTTTCTTCGCTTACTTTGTCATCAAGAACCCAGGACAGTTGCTGATGGTTTTTCCTTCCCTTTTTTCAGAAAAAGAAGTGTCTCAGTGATGACAGTTAGAGGTGTGGGCAGAACAAAAGTCCTAAGGGAGGGTGAAAAGAGGAAAGTCTAAGAATTACTTCTGCTCTATTTCATATTTCCTGCTACCTTCTGTTTTTTAATTCAACTTCAAAAAAAGATTTCCTTTGTTTCTTTTTATTCCTAAACACCTATTTCTTCCTCTTGCATTGCTTTCTAAATAATAAATTTTAGCATGCATGTTACATACAAGAAGATCTGAGAGAGTACTCTTAAGGAGCTAAACAACCGAGGTCCTTACTATTCATTTTCTTACCAGCTTTTCTACAGAGCTCACCACTGTGTTTTAAATTAAGATTCATCAAACACCCTAAATCTTTCCATGACCCATGTGAGACAGATGACCGTTGCAGGTCCCTTCCAACTGAAATATTCTATGCTATCATTATATCCCATTTAAGAGGTGGAGAATTTAGGTATACAAATATGAAAACAAATAATTTCCAAGAGCTGCAGGCACCTGGTTTGACCATCCCACTCTATAGCCCGGATTGATCCTCCTTTCCCACTTGGCAATTTAGCTGCTTGCTTGAATTGATTAATTGCATTCAATTAAAAACATGGATTAGGGCCGAACGCACCTGCATTTCCCTGCAGACTACTTTGGAAAGAGGTAAACAATTACATGCCTAGAGAGAAAAAAAAGGAACTTATCAAAATAGAAAATCTTTGAGACTTTGAAATCGTGCCTTCTTAACTGTAATGAGATGTGTTATCATTAATTAAAGGTAATATTAGTTATAGTTAATCTGTATTATTAAGTAACTAAGCACTCGACGCATCTAGAAGTATCTGTTCTCTACTGAAACATTATCTTCAAGAGATTTTACATGTCTTTTTCTGTCTTCTGCAGCTCTTAATTTTTCTTACACCCTAATGACAGGAATCTCTTCTGCTTCAGTGTATTCAGCTAAATCGATACGAGCACTTTGCTGTTGTTACATCCGAATTCAGCACCCAGTCCTCAAACGCAAGTAACCAGAATAATTAAATGCAATCAACAAAATCCTAGACCATATTCTAAAGTACAACCCTGCTTTAATGGCAGCGAGACGATGTTTGCGTCTTTAGAAGCACAGTACAGCACCAGACCGATGGACGCTGCATACCTGGTTCTGAAGCAGTGGCAACGTGAGGAAAAAAATATTTCCCATAGTCTTAGACAGGGCTTAGAGACAGCTCCAGCAGGAGCGTCATTTGTGGGCAGCTTCCTTAGGTTGTTACGTAATTCAACATTAAACCCGGCAGATGTGTGTATACAGCCCTGGGAGCGCCGATGTTATCGTGTTCCTTTTCTTTCGAGGTCTTTGCTTGCATTGTGATTGATTGCTTTTACATATATTCTTATTTTAGAGTCATTGATAGTTCATTCTGCAAAACAATGGTGCTTAAAAGCATACATGCGTATAGAAGTGTGGGGGTTTTTTTGACTACTTGTTATTAACGTTGATCTAATTATGACAATGATATTGGTATGAGTTTGAATTTGGTTCTTTTCAGGTTATAACATTCTGATCTCTGTTTCCCTGAAGCTGGTGATTTTACTATGCACAATTTTCATGCCTTTATTTGTTAGAAAAACTCTATATCCTTGTGGTTTTTTTATCAGTCTCAGCCTAGAGAATCATCTGTTCGACTGATTTCTTACCATCTACTATATTTGCAGTTATACCTGTAATTAAAGAGGACATCGAACCAGCTTAAGGTCTAAATGCTTCTGAAAAAACCCTACTTGATAAAGCTGAGAAGGTGGTTCAGCAAAGAGACAAGAGATTTGGGACGTGATTTCACGTGCTCCTCCCGTGTAGCCCTGTATTCCTCCATCAGAAATTTTCCATGAGATGCAACTCCAGTCTGCAGCCACTGGGACGGGGAGAAGCAGGAAAAGCTTGTGCGGGTTGCGGTGTTCCCATACCTCTCGGTTCAAACAAGGAGGAGAGAAGAACACGTTGAGTTCAAATCGATGAAGCTCCTTCTGGGGAACACGGCTGGCCGGCTAGGAGGGCAGAAGCCTAAACTGACTCGGAATAAGTCGCAAGGGAACCTACCGCTAGCAGGGTACCTACTAACGGGGAAGCTAAAACTCAAACTGCTTGACAAAAAAAAGATGTGTATATATTTATATATTTATACTTTTATTTATATATTGATATTTACATTTACCTTTTTGGTTGGGGGGACAGTGGCAGGGGGAATCTCTTGTCCTTTATATGATGCAAGTGCAGAGACTTGTACGCTAAGATGACCCCGGTAGCAATCTCTTGCTTCTGCTTTGGGGACCTGTGACACCACGGATACTACTTTTCAAAACGGCAGTCTTCTTTTAGGAGACAGCAAAACGTTTTGAGCACGGACTGGGTGAGGTGGCATCACACAGTCCAGGAGAGACGGGCCAAAGTAAGTTTCTCTCGTATTCTGGAAAGCTCTGTGTTAGCAAGCACACAGGAATATGAGACAAAAAGTTGATGGCTTGGCTGACACGGTCTGCGTGGGGAGGGCTGGTCTGGAACAGTATGCGAAACATCAGTGAAAGGAGCACATGAGGGGCGCTTCTCGCTTTCTCACACTGTGCGTGCCGTACCTGGTGCGTTCTGTGAGTTCTCAGCACACAGAAGTCAAGGAAAAGCAACCCTTCCTTCCGCAGAGACGGGACACTAAAACCGAGAAGTAAGAGCAACAGTCGTGCGCGTCGATGCCGGAGGGGGAAGGAAGCTTGCATTAGAGTGAAGTAACTGTTGTCACGGGTGACACAAGCTTGTTACACATCCAGTCGCGGCGGCGTGGCGGTCCCAACCAGCGGCTGTCGTACGCCCAGGGGTTGGCGATGCTCTGCCGCGGAGGAGGCGCCTGTCCGCCGCTCCCAGCGCCGCTGCCACTACCGCGTCCTCGTCCTTCTCTTGAAGCGGAGCAGCACGTTTTCATATAAACATCCTTGTTCTTGGCAGTGGAAATGATGAATAGAGGTCTTTACTTCTAGGAAAATCCTACAAAAACTGTGAAGCCCACAGAGCCTGTCAACCTCGGCACGGGCTCTGCACAGTGTGCCAGGCCCAGATCAGAGGCCTGCCTGATGCTAAGATTATCTATGCTGTTCCCTGTTTCCTTCTTGTGTTACCTCCAGTAAACTTTGTTTTAATCAACGCCGTATGGAGCTGAGGGCCTTTCTTACCGGAGTCTGTAAAGAACACTTGCGCTGGTGCACTGCATCTGGCGTAGCTGGCAGAGCCCCGGCGAGAAATGGCTTTTTGGGAACGGCGAGCGAGGCCAGGCCAGGGCGGGTGCCCGGCTGGCCCCGGGGGCACTCGCCCAGTCTTTGGGCTGGGTGGCCGGCCCGTCAGCTGGCAAACAGGGAAAGACTCCAAAAGGAAAGGAAAGGAAAAGGGAAGGGTGGTAAAAAAAAAACCCAGCAGAATTTACATTGTAGTTGGCTGCTATTAACACGGTTTCCAAAGAGTGCTGGGAAGTTTTGACCGGACAGAGGGTTACAACAGACCGAGATACGGGAAGAGCTGGCGTGGGGACCCAGCAACAAGAGCTGATGAAAGAGCCGAGCGCTCGGGGCCAGCAGCGCAGTCGTAGCAGCAGGTACGAGGCTGAGGCTGCGATTCTGCAGCGTGGGACTACAAGCTATGAACAAGCAGCAGGGACCCGGGACAACCTTTCACGCCGTCTCTGTGTGAGATTACACCCAGGGAGAACTGCAGACCGTGCTTGAACTTACTGGCAAAAAAACAGGGGAGAAACTAGGGCAAGGCCTTGTTGGATTCAGTAATGTTTTTTTCTTTTTAAACAAACGCATAAGTAACAGAATATATCTAAAAATCAGAATAGAAGTAATGTTAAAGGACGAAGGCATAGATAAGTATTAGAAGATACTCAGACCTGTCTGATAACCAAGCTTAATAGCTGTAGTCTAGTGAATCTAAGTTAACCCCATACAATACATGATCTTAAGGTGCTAACACCTTCCTTTTCAAGGAAAGAGACGATAGTACATGTCTATGCGTAAATATACCAACTGCCGATTTAAGCTAAAACGTAAAGTTTGTCTGTTTCTTGTAGAGACGATAGAGGGAGATGGAGAAATGGAGGCAGGGGGAAGGTGCGTGAGTATATCGGGGCCTCCTATGAAGGAAAATACTCCAGCGCTGGGAACAAAGACAACTACTAATGAAAGGCTCTTGTTGATCTTTTTTTTCAACAGGTAACAGAGGAACTGAGTATCCCCCCGACTGCTGGACTCTTACCAACTTAACGCCACTTCACCCTCCAGGACTTCGCACAGAGCCCGTTGCCTGCTCCAGGTTACTAGAGGGGACAGATGGTTCCTACGCCCTGGCAGTGCAGCTGAGAGTATCCCGAGTTTTCCATTAATTTGTCCTAATGGTTTTCGTCCTTCTTTCATCCTACTCTGCCTTTCACGTCCCATGGATGCACTTCAGTTTGATTTGTGTTTACACCGACCTCCTATATTACTCACAGGATACCTCTGTTCCTCTGAGTAATATATGAGCATTGAAGGATACTCGCTCCTTTGAAAGCAGCAGCATTTGTTTCGCCGAGCTTGGGGCATGGTGGTGATCGTCACAACAGCAGCTGTTTGTCCAACAGGTTCCTGAAGCTGCCATTTTACAGTTCACAATCCATCACCACTTGCGGTTGTCAACTGGGGAGCTTCCCGCCACAAGTCCATTTCTCGCTCGCACCCAACACAGTACTCTGAGCTTTCACATCACCACCTATGAAAAACCATCAGGTCCCCTCGGTGCCTGGATGCGAGGGCTGGCTCCCAGCGAGCTACCTGCATACAGGCAATGAATAAATACCCAAAGCCAACCTGGCCCCACACTGTCAGTGGTGTTCACTCCCATTCCCACAAGCTTTGATTCCATGACATGTTGACTATGGGTTAATAATAAACCTCAGCTTCCTTCTTTCTCAGGCCGACAGCTCTGAAAACGGGTGCCAGGATAACTTAACCTGCATAATGAGATCCCCCGGAGAGCATTAAAGCTCTCCTTTCTAGACAATTCGGTAAGCAGGTTTGGGAAGTATTGGCACACCCAAGAACACACACAAAACGAACGCACAAGAAACACCGAAATGGTTTTGCAATTCTTGAGTTTAATTACTTTAGCATGTGGGTTTCTCTTGCTATTCAGCCTTCCCCTTTCCATCGCAATCGTTCTTAGGAAACTTGCACAAACACACACTTTTCCTAGACCAGTACATAAACCAGACACAGATGCACAAGTTTTTATTTGCAGTTTTCTTAAGCCTTGGTTTCTTAACTTCTTAAGAGAGAACATGTATTAAAAAAAAACCTATTATGCAATCAGCTCAAATGTCTGATGGCGAGATGCACTGAGATCAGAGGACTCCATGATGGAAGAACATGAGAGTGATCCGTAACAGGAACTACACTGCAGCCTAACCTGTCCGGGAAGTCAGAGTTACAGAAGATCAGCCTCTCCAAGGACTGTGCTGTCCGCACTGTGCTGTCAAAACAGCACAGGAAAGTCTCTTTATCGGTGTTTCACTCTTGGCAAAATTGAGGCCTTTGGGAAGAAACGAAATAAAAGCAGAACCCAAGACAGATAGGCAATTCACTCATTCCCCCCTCTCCCTTTAGCTCACGAAAACTTGAGACTATTCAGCCCTTTGTCTCAAGAAGTAAGCAAAAGAAAGACTAGAAAAGGCGAGAATAGGACAACTTGACAAAAGGCAATTCAAAAGATACAAACGTGAAGGGTCACGAGGTGAAGAACAGTTACAGAAGCACGGGAATAAAATGACACTGTGGAGGCATTACACATATACACACACCCAGGAGCAAGATCCTCCTCTGCAACTCAAAAGATTTGACAATGAAGCACAAATCCAGTTAAGCGAGGCCAGCATAGATGATGTGCATTATCTAGTAGGCTTTAGAATATCAGATTAACTAGGATTCTTGAATATAAAAGATCTCAAAACTTATTAGTTCAGAAACTTCGGAGAGAACAAACCCCGTAGGTAGCCTGAATTCCTAAAAGTGAAAAAATGTTCAAGTAATTGTGCTGGTAGGAAACATCATGCGATATTATACAACGGGTTTTCTACCTGCCTCCAGGCCTCTTCTCGCCCCGACAGTTTGTATCACTACAGCAAATTCCAGGGTTGTGTGGGCTGGTGGTAGGCTGTTACAAACTTGGTGTCAGCGGAGGAGAACTTGCTATGCCACTGACACCAGGGGCTGACGTCTGTGTTACAGCTGCTCAAAGAAGTTAGGAAACACTGTAGAAAGGAATTTTGGGGAAAGATTTTTTGATTAAGCAGACACTAGTTTTTGTAATTTTCTGTCAAAGGACTCAAACGCATCTAGTTAATTTAGCTTTAAGACTCCACAAGCAGAAAACGCAGGAAGAAGTCCAGTGCTCATACATGGTCAAGTAAACAAGTAGCTGCTGCAAGCAGACGAGAAATCTGAATGTGATGTCCTACCTCAATGCAAGTCACCCCACGGCTCCTCCCCCCATTTTAAGGGCAGCTGCTGGACTTTGCTAGGCATGAATCAGTTCTACTCAAAATTTCTGAGGACGCATAACCTGTGAGCTAGGTGCAAGTTACCCTAGAAGAACTGCCATGCAATGTGCATGAGAAATCAGCATTACGCAGGGTGGCAAGCACTTCCTACCACAACACCTACAATCCATGGCAATGGATGTGTGTTAGCATGTTAAAAAGTAATATTCCACAGTTAAAATGTAATTTTCCATAGGAAAAATGTTCCCTGTACCTAGGAGCAAATCTAGGAGTACGAAAGTGATCTAAGCAGATGCAAACAGTTGTAGCCACAAACTATCAAAAAAGAAATCTCAAATTAAAAACAAAATAATAAAAAAAATCTTAATTCCAAACAGTATACAAGCCACCCATTAAAACAGGCTCTCAGAAAGAGTAAAATCCATGTTTAAAATATTACACACCACATTACTATCCACCTAATAAAAAAAAGCCAACAAAAAACCCAGCCAAACTTTACAAACAGGATACAAACAGATTTCCTTTTGCAATAAGGATATCGGATAAAAAGTGACAGAATACGTTGCGGTATGTTTACAGGGAGGTTGCTCTTCCCCTCCGCCCAGTGCCTTCACTCCCACCAGCTCTTGTTTTGAGCTTGTTTTCAGTTTTTCCAGATGTGCCCTTTGCTTGTAGAAAGAGACCTTTCTTTTGCCTGTACAGAACGCGACGCCCAGGAAGCAGGCGAGGAGAGCGGTCAGACTTCTTGCCGATCCATTTCTTCGCTGTCCATTTCACATCGCTAAGCCAGTTCCAGATGTTACGCGAGTTCAAGAAGTTTCTATCTCGGAGGCCTCCTCTATGAAGTTAGCAACAGGACTGAGGAGCAAGAGTGGAAACAGTTTATACTCTCCATTCCCGTCTTCTGAGAGGAGAGGTGGATCACCCATTCCCAGAGCATCCAGAGGCTCTGCCTGGCTTGCTGGAGCTGCTAGTGGCAGGACAGTTTCACTACCTGACGGAGGATGAAGAGCAGGTTTCTCCTCCAAGGGGGGCAGCAGAAGGTCTTTCGGATCCTCTGTCTTCCCTGCGGCTTCACTTGAAGGTAGTTCTTCAAACAAGGAAAGCAGAGGATTGGCCCTGTACTGTATCAGCTGCATATCTGAGGGGAAACAAACAGTTTAAACTCCAGGCTCCTGTGTCACGTAAGTGAAGGCTCTTATTCAAGACAAGGAAAACTGGAGAGGCTGCTTCAAAACTTGGTTCACTAAAGAAAACCACGCAGCTGAGCTCTGACAGACTACATCCACAGCTGCAGGAGGGGGGCTAAGGCTCCCGTGTCTAAGCTCAGTATCTGAAGCACACTTCAAGCCCCCAATACATGCAGCATGCAATGGCAGCGCTGAAGTAGGGAAATGAGTAGCACTGCATTTGTGGGGGTCACAGCCCGTCTAGCAGATAGTTCCACAATGACATTTGCAGTTCTGCTCCCTACTGTGACTCTCCGTCACGTGTAAGGAAGAGGAAATGGTTAACACCAGCATGGGGCACAGGATGGGGGCTCGTAAGATTGAGGCACAGCTTCATCAGGATCAGTGAAACATTCCAGTCTTCACAAAAATCTTAAGCCCAGACCAAAGAAGGAGATAAACCATATTACAGGCTACAAAAATTCCATTTCAACACACAGTTTTGGAAGAGTCTGGAGCTGTCACAGCTCCCAGCGTTCCTTCCTGCCCACCTTTGCTTCCTGCTGTTTCTCTCTCACTCGCTCCCAGATCTTCAGTGCTCTCTGCCAAGTTTGCGATCTGAAGCAAAATGGACAGAGAGCGAGACAGAAGGCTTAACAACAACAACAACAAAGTCCAAGTCTTTGCTGAGAGGTTAACAAAATTAAAGGTGAAAGGAGGAGGGAAGAGAAATGAACCAGGTGACCAATGAGCCCACTGCTGCACGAGGGCCAGCAAAGGGGAGCTCTCAGAAGAAAGCACAGTGAAATACAAACTTACCTTACTAAAGCCGAACAAGCTTCTGACTAAAAAAATAATTTGTTTTACCTTCCAAACCAGAAGCTTTATTATAGTCTGTCTTGTTGGAATAACACTGTTAAATATGGTTTCATCAATACAATTAAATTTTGCAAACACTGCTTGAATGCAGCTGCATTTTACCTCAGTTGTGGTCTAAGCTCTTATGACTGGGAAGTCCTAGTTTAAATATTATTTCAGGACTACAAAATGACACTTGCAAGGTTGGGGTTTTTTTTGCTTGTTTGTTTGTTTTTGAACATGAGTCAATTTTAGGAACTGGACCAAGAGAAGTAAATTTGCACTGAACTTTTTTATATCCTCTGAGGAAATTCCATACAGCCACGTTCAGAATAAATACAATATATTACATTGTATTTTTCATTTAGTACTTTTCCTTCAGTCTTCAGACAGACAGTCTCATCTGAACTATAACCCCAGACCTAGTTATTACTTGGCTAAAAGACATCATGGGAATCCCTGAGGCTAGGAGAAACAAGCCAAGAAACTGTTCTCACACACTTAGACCAAAAAAAAGACATGATTTTCTACCTTCCTCATTCTAAACAGAAGGCACAGAAGTAATAGATAGGAAGAAAGAAATTCCTCAATACAGACAGCTGAGTCAACAGACACCAGTTTCTTTCCCTCTTCCTTATGCTCTCAGGTGTATTCAGAAAGCAAAGACCATGTCACTCAAAGCAACGCGACAGTTTAAGTCAGTCCACTGAGTGTATTACTGCAGCTAGGAACGTAAGACTTGAAATTCATATACGCCGACAGTGATAACTGAAAACATTAAGTCAGCAGGACTAGATAAAACGGCAGTTTCATCCTGTGCTATCAATCCAGTCCCTACCCTCAAACTGCATCAGTCAAAATTTAGCTCTCAACGTCGTATTAACCCCCCCATCATAGAAGCAACTCTTACTCTTACATTTTCCATACCAGGGGAAGTTTCCATCAAGCTCATATCCAGGGCAGGCAGCTCAGGATTAAATGTCTGAAAATAAAAACAGACCATATGTCACATAATAAGGTTCTTAAAACGGAACTTCAGGGAGCTCCTGAAAGGACAGCAGGATGCAGCACACCACTCCATCCGCTGACGCACGGGGAAGGTGGCTCCCCCCAGGCCTACAGCAATGTACTGTCAACCTGTGGCAGAGACTGAGGCCACAGGAGAAAAGGACACCGTATTTCCCAGTGATTCCAGGTATATGGCTGAGTTTCATTCCAGATCATACTGCGTAATCAAACACATAGTCAGGATGCGATGATATGTGACAAAGGCTTGAGAAGGAGAAGAGAGTTCAATTTTTTTTTCTTTTTTTTTTCTCCCTTGAGTTACCTATAACAGAAATACTATATGAACTGAAAAAGGCTCCCAAGGTTACCTTGTGCATTGTTAGACTCCTAGAATGACTATGTATCGTTCCACCCATAACTATTCGCTTTTCCCCCCTCTTGCTCATTACAACATGGAATAAAACAGTAACGTTTCATAATGCAACCTAATCAGTATTTTTCAGAAATCAGAAAAAGTGAAAAGACACTCACATCGCTGAAAGCTTCAGAACCAAAGTTATACTGCTTCCCAGATAACATTGCTTGAAGCTCTTCAAGGCTGGCATCAATGCAATTAAGAAAATCCTGAATTTCTTCTCTAAAAACACAAAATTATATAGTACTGTAAGAAACCGTCAGCAGGCAGGGCCTTCTTTTGCACCACGAGGCAGGAAAAGCTCTTAGGAGTGATCTGCTAACCTCGCAGTTATTACAGCTGGGGGGCAAGATGAGAGCCAGACTAGGCTGCTCACAATCCAGAACAGCTTATGGCCAAATGAACCAAACCGCATTCCGGTGTCACTTTTCACGGTCCAACTCTTTGAAGGACAGATACAAGGAAGACTATCTGAACAGCAAGTACAATAATAGCTGTCATATCAGAAAGCAGCTCCTCCTTCCATGCCTACTTCCTCCTTCATTTTCCTGTCTTTTGAATGTTCTCAGATCCCAGCCTATATACCAATATCTGCTTAAACTAAGGTCTGATGGCTTTCACCTGGGGACAATAAATGATAAGCAAGGGGCTGGAAATAATCTGGATCTGAAGAAACACTACCTATTTTGAAACATCAGGTTGTTGCCAAATGGTACACATTTCCAAGGACAGCGGGTGGGATCCGAGGGACAGTGACTGAAGTGGAACGGAAGCTGCACGCACGGCACCAGTACTGAACTCGCTGTGCTGCCAGCTACCTCCCATGCTGGAACGCTCAGCTACAAGCAACAGACCGCTCCGAGGCGTTGCCCCACGCTTTGCAGTGCCAATGAGGTCAGGTATTACAGGGCCTTCAGGTTACACTGAGTGCTGTGACACATCATCTCAGTCCTTCCTACCTGAAGCTAACCACAGCAGAAGAGCTGTCAGGAGAAAGGACTGGAGTTTGTTCCCTGATCCCGCTCACCCTGCAGCCACAAAAATGACTGCACTGGTACAGCTCAGGGGCCAGTGCAGAGCTGGGAACTGCGTTAGCAGCAGAGTGCTGAGTGCGAAACCACAGCCCGCATGACTCTGATCCCGGGCGAGTCTGATCTGACAATGCACGAGGGAAACGAACCTTTGCGAAAATGAGGGGCAAAGAAAGGAAGCAACAGCGAAACAACATCAGACTGCCGCCGATACAAATCCCTATCCAGTTCTCAGAACCGAAGCGGCACATGGTGCCCTCCCAAAATCACTACCCGTGATGTGCTGTTTGGCAGCACTTGGCAGTGCCAGCCGCTGCCGATACAAGAGCTGATGTGACAGGCTGACCTCACAGCCCGCAGACTGACACATCAGAAGTCAGGCACACTCATTATCAGAAATGTGACAGATGAATTTGCCCTGCTTTTAGTGTACGATGCTAACACTCGTCTTTTTCAAGACCGACTAACAAAGCAGCAGAAAATTCAGTTCATCAACATCTAAAATGCTAATTCACTATGTTCTGCTAAACATACCCGATAGAACTTTGACAAGATCCCAAAAGATGACGACAGCATAACAGTTGCGAGAAACAAGTTAATACCTGTCCAGTAGAGGATCATTTTGGTTTCCAGAGTTGTTCTCGTTCAAGATGGAGTCGATCACTGACACGGGGTCTTCTGGAGCATTAGGCTGTGCAGCATGGAGTTCCACAGCAACATTTCCTATTTCACTGGATTTGCTGACATCATTTATATGAACTGGTGGGATAGGTTCTGCACAGTTTAACTCATTTGGCTGTGATACTTGACAAATAGGTAAGCCGGGATCCAGAGCTGCCTGTGTCTCTCTAAAGCAGGACCCAAAAAGAGAAACAACACACAGGAGAATTCATCAACTGTATTACTACTCATTTCAAGTTGAGTATCTCAAATCTTAGTACCTAATAAGGTCAAGCCAGTCAAGGGTTCAACCAACCAACTGGTCTTTAGAAAAAGAAGAGAAGTGCCTTCCTAAAGGCAGCTGAAGAATCTCTTATACATACAGACAGCCCATTTTGCCAGGTCAAAAGCAGCAAAACAGTACATGGAAATCAGGCGGAAGAGAAACTCCTAACATTGTGTCTCTGGAAAGAAAAGATTCCAGACTGGTCCATATTTCACTCCGGATGTTAACAACTAAAGGGGTTTTCACAAGAATCTGATGCCACACAAAAAAAATGCCTTCCCCCCAGTTATGCTTAGCATAATATTAGCGAGAGTAGTACTGACTGAAACTGGAGATGAAACTATACATCTTGGTTTGTTTATTAGTAACCTACGTGCATTTTGGATTGTTTATTAGTAACCTCTGTCTGCATTCAGGTCCCTGTTCAGTTGAAAAGTTAAGCATGCGCTTATTTGTTGAACAGACAGAAAAGCCTCAGCAAATTAAACTTCAAGTGCCAATCAGCTTGCTAGGCCTTCAGGCACTCCTGAAGAGACGTGAGCCCTTAAAAAGCTTTGCTGACCGTGACCAACGCTACATGCTGTAGAAGAGACAGCCTACAAACAGGCCTGTCATGCACAAAGAGAGTAAAAATTCAGAGAGGCTGTTTCCCAGAATTCATGTGGATCACTTAAAATAACATAACAACCTAAGCATAAATGCTTCCCCATCTGGAACTGGTACCTGGCTCTGCCACTTGTGTGTGCCACAGCAAGGAGACCATCGGTGGCGTTTTCCAGGGTATCAGTGATATCTCGAATGATGAGACCTGTACCATTTCCATCCTCATCATCTGCGTTATGTTCAGAAAAAGCCATCTGCAGGACACAGCAAACAGATTGAGTACACCAAAAGGTCTGACTTTTGTTGATGTTGAAGCTCCATTCTTCTTGCAGCTTCTCTCTCCTGTTTCATCTTTGACTAGTTGTACTGACTTGCATGATTTTACAGGCAGAGCAATGCTTTAAAGCTGCCCATTTCAAAATGGAGTGCATTTGATTATAAGATTAGGGTATTAATAGCTATAAGGAAGAGTTTGAGATCACTGTACTTCATCCTGTCCAACCCCTTGCCTCTTT